GTTTTTCTGCATTTTATTTTCCTCACAAAGCAATGTTATGTATGGGCCATTTTGCCTACTACTGAGAGGCTGCAGTTCTTAACCTCTATTCATAAAATTTTATCTCTGGTAACTCCTGTTCTGCTGAGTTAAACTTTGCAAATATAGCAGTAAATTGAGAGAGAAAGGATCTTTAGAAACTTAACCACAACCACACTTAAAGATGTGGTCAAATTCTCCAGGCTCCACTCAAATAAATAAAAAATGGAAAGATTACAAAGCTTGTGGCTAAAATTCAATTTGAAAATAAAACACATCCAGTGGCATGGGAGAAAAGCAAGCGTTCTTTCCTCACTCCCACCCCCCACTCCCACCCTTTTTCTTCTTGTTATAAAAGTAATGTATGTTGGCCGGTCACAGTGGCTCATGCCTATAATCCTGGCATTTGGGGAGGGTGAGGCAGGAGGACTGCTTGAGGCCAGGAGTTTGAGACCAGCCTGGGCAACACAGTGAGACCGCCCCCTCCACAAAAAAATGTTAAAATTAGCTGGGCATGGTGGAGCATGCTTGTCGTCCCAGCTGCTCAACAGGCTTTGGAGATATACAGCTTATTGTACCAGTAGTTTGCACAGTGAGGTGTACACTCCAGGGAACCAAGGATATGGGTCTGTTTTGCAATTATTACATCAATTATTTTGAACACTGCTATACTGGAGTTTATTTTTTGTTTTTTAATTTTTTGAGATGGAATTTCACTCTTGTTGCCCAGGCTGGAGTGCAATGGCTCGATCTCTGCTCACCGCAACCTCTGTCTTCCAGGTTCCAGTGATACTCCTGTCTCAGCCTCCTGAGTAGTTAGGATCACAGGCATTCGCCACCACGCCCAGCTAATTTTGTTCTTTTAATAGAGACGGAGTTTCTCCTTGTTGGTCAGGCTGCTTTCAAACTCCCAACCTCAGGTGATCCAAAGTGTTGGGATTACAGGCGTGAGCCACCGCACCCAGCATACACTGGAGTTTAGTTTATTCACTGAGCAGGTTGCTCCTCAAGTTCAAACTCCCTAAGCAGATATTCAGTAAGTATCTTACATAACTGGTACAAATGAGGTCATATCAAGGTCAGAACCTCTGAATGCATTTATACCTCCATCTACTTCATTGATGAAATATCTGTGTTCCTGAAATGTATTTTGATAAGGAGACTATTTCACCATCGTCTATTTAATAAAATGAAACTGAAGTATAGTGTGATGAGGTCTTTTACTTTGTATGTAATGATAAGCATATATTATGGGAAAGACAGCTTCCTCATTCCCAAGAAGTCAATTTCCTTCTGAGAGTCTGAGTCTTTATTAAATCACAAAGTACCATCTCCCTGTTTGTGTTCTCAATGCTGGCTAACAAACAAAAAGCAGCCAGGGGAACCCTGCCTTTGATAGTCAACATATAGTATGCTGTTTTGGTTATCAATTGCTATGAAACAAACCACCCCCAAATTTAGGGCTGAAAGCAATTTATTATAATTTCTCACACTTCTTCCTGTTGACTTGGCTTAGCAAGCAGTCTTCTGCTGGTCTTGCTTACAGTCTCCTGTATGTGACTGCAGTCATATACCAGCTGAGACTGGAGTTCTCTGGAGGCCTGACTAGGTGGGCTTGAAGGTCCAAGATGGCTTCTTCATTCACCCTAGTGTGCTGGTTCACATAGTCTCTCTCTCTCTCTCTCTCTCTCTCCATTTAGAGTTTCATCTTCTATCACTTTTCCCATGGCCTCTCTTTCCATCAAGGTAGTCAGACCTCTTAGCATGATGGCTGACTTCCAAGAGTATATAATTAAAAGCTGTCAGGCCTTTTTCAAGCTTAGGTGAAGACCTGACATAAAGTCACTACTGGCCTCCTTCCATAACTTAAAGTAAGTTGCAGGGCCAGCCTTGCTTGGTTCCATATGGGGGGACTAGACAAATGCCTCAGTATCAGAGGGGTGATTACTGGGTGCCATCTTTAGAAGCTTTCTATACTTGATGCTGGACAAAGTAGAATTTCAACTACAATTCTAAAAGATTCTGAATATTTTCTGGCTCCAACACGGCGAACAATTGAGAAAAAGGATCCCATGGCAGCAAGACAGGAGAGAAAAACCAGCACCTCCTCTTTCTTGCTCCTCTGGAGCATCTCAACATGCAGTATCTGTACTCTCCTAACACAACAGGCAGATTTGGAGGGCAGACCAAGGGCTCAGGCTCTCATATGAAGACAATCACATTCCAGAGTCTGCCAAGACTTGGCACCCCCTTGACATGGGTGGTCTTGAGAATGGGATTCCCTTTATTTGTCTGAACCATGGTGCAATGCCTAACAGCTTTTCCTTAGTGTTTGCTTTTCTTAAACATGTTCGAACTTTTATCATATTGCTCCCCTCCCTTTGAAAATATGTGCTTTGCAGGTGCCTGAAATAACATACTCTCAGCAAATTGCAGAACTGGAAAAGTAAAGGTTATTTCATTCAGTCTAAACTCAATGGAAATTTTGTGGCTTAACAAGGAATTACCAAATACTTTATAAACTCCTTCAGAGCAGTAACCATGTCATATGACTTTGGTGTCTCCTACCTTCTAGGCTCATTGTCTACCTTCTCTGATGTCGTAATTTTAATAAGTAACTTGAATTGTTAACAATTTACAAGAGTAAATTGTTATTGGACTCAGAAATGTTTCATTATATCTCTGCATCTTTCATGTGGAGGTCCTTTGCAAACAATTTCTCCTAACTTGTTTTCATTGTGCAGATCATATTGCAGAGTTTTCGCATAACAGCTGAAAGGCAGTAATAGGAGTTGAAGAAACCTGCTTCAATTACAAGTAATTAATTTAGGCTTCACTTATCTTAAGGAATATCTGAACATACAAATTTACACATAAATCCTGGGAGTGTCAAATTATGCAACCTAGGGAAAGTAAGCTCTGCAGTTTTTTGGGCGTTGATCGCTATAGACGGGGGTGTGTGTGTGGTTTTTGAATGAAATAGTAAAACCACTGCCAGTATTATCTACTTCACCTGGTTTTGAATAATTCCAGGAAGCTAGAAACTGAAAACCAGTCTTGTTAAAGAGTTAGAAAGACTGTAAATGCATAAGAGGAAAGAAAAAAACAAAACAAAACCATTTATCTATCTTCTTTGAACCCTTATAAGAGTTCACAAGTTTCCTAGTTTCAAATACTTGAAGTTTTCTGTGGGCAATTTTTTTAAAATAATTGTTTTAATGTAAGACAATACATACTCATTGGAGATTTAAAGCACACTTGCTAGTACCAAGGAGAAAGATAGAAATTGTTGATTCCACAACATTTAATATATTGGTAACTATTCTTAAATTTTTTTTCTAGGCACATGTTTTTGTAAAACGAGTCAGTACTATGCAGACCTTTTTGTAACTTCTTTTTTTAATTTGTACTATTTTGTGAGTACGTGAAAAAGAAATGTGTAAAGATTAAACGATTATAGCATGTTGTGGTATTACACACTGTTGAAGGGCACCATCTGTGGCGTGGTGGCTGCGCTTTGGTGGGAAGAGTTTCTCATGGGGTTCTCGTTTTTCTCCCAGCTCTGGGTGGGCAATATTGACCACTCTCCAACCTAAACGGCCTTCTCCGTTTGCCTTTGACGACTTGGGCTTAGTAGAATGGAGACACGTGGGAGTATAGAGGAGGGCGTTCACGGTGACCGCGAACAGGAGCTCCCGGCACTGTCCACATTACAGACCCACTGGCCCCAGACCGGGAGGGCAGCTGGCGGTGGCACGGCCTGGATCCAAATCTTTAGCCCCCACCCCGGCTGGCGCCATTCTCGGGCGGTGGAGTGAGATAAAGCGGGGCAAGGTTCTGCAACTCCAAATCAGGGAGGCGCAGCTCCTACACCAACGCCTTTCCGGGGCTCCGGGTGTGTTTGTTCCAACTGTTTAAACTGTTTGAAAGCGCCCGAACTCTAGCGACCTTCGCAAACAACTCTTAATCTCCCGGGCGAGAGCGCTGCCCTTATTTGCGGGGGAGGGCACACTGAACGCCGACACCGGGGTGCTAACAGAGGCCTCCTCTCGGTCCCCCGCCTGCTGGGACCCCAGCTGCCAGTCCCTTCCCACCCCCGGACCGCGAGCTTCTTGCGTCAGCCCCGGCGCGGGTGGGGGATTTTCGGAAGTGCAGCCCGCGCGGCCGGCAGGGGAAGGAAGGGCCCAGGCTCTTGCCCCGCCCTTGTGGGGCGGGAGGCGGAGCGGGGCAGAGGCCCGCCGGCAACTCGGGCCGCGTCGCTGAGCAGCGAGTGCCGCGGAGCCCGGAGGAGCCGCCCTGTCCGCGCCGCACCTCGGCAGCCGGAACAGGGCAGCCGTCGGGGAGCCCCAACGCACGGTCCCCAGCTCAGCATGATGGACTTGGAGCTGCCGCCGCCGGGACTCCAGTCCCAGCAGGTGCTGCCTAGGTCCTCTCGGCTCTGCCGTGGTACTAGGACGGGGGCGGGGGAGCTAGGGAGCCGCGGCCGGGGAGAGACAGCCGCAGCCGGCTTCCCCAACGTCTGGCTAGAGCCAGGACCGCAGCGCTGGCGAGAGTCGCCGCCCTTGCGCTGGGGCCGGGCGGGGAGGGGCAGCGGGGGCGCGGCCGGGTGGTCTGACCGACCACTAGTCCGAGGAAGGCTGGGTGGGGAGTTGCGGGAAGGTCTGGGGATTGAGCCCGCGAGCGTGGGCCGTGGGGGCGAATCCAGCTGCGTCCTGAGTCCCCAGAGCTGGGACTCCCAAGCCCTAAAGTTTAAGCGGCCCCGCGGGCGGCGGGTAGGAGGGGGCGGACGCTGGCGGTCTGAGCCGGCGCGGCCCGGCCCTTCCGGGGCTGCGCGGCTCCCCCGCCTCGGAGCCGGCAAAAATGTGCCTAGTCACGGGGCCGCTCTTGGGGGAGCTGAGGTCGCCTTTGGGCTGGGACCCGGAGCCCCTTCGCTGCGCCCCAAGACCTCCTGCGGCGCAGCCTACGGGCTGCGGCGCGCTCACCCAATTGGGCCGTCTGTGGGCGCTGCTTTGCGAAGTCATCCATCTGTCGGATCACTCTCTGGCAGCCTTGAGCTTTCCTGAAAGCTCAGTCCCCAGGACGAGGGAGGAGCGCTTGAAGTGCCCAGCGGGCTCAGAAGCCCCGACGTGCGGCGACTGAGCCCGGCCCCGCGCAGTTTCTTGGCCGGGGAGGGGTTCGGGCTCGGGCATCCGGAGCTGGCCCCTTGCAACGCCGCGGGAAGTGCGGGCGAGGGCAGCGGACTCTGAAGCTGGAGTCGGCGGCGCCCGGGGCTTCTAATTCGGACGCGGTGCCCCCTGGTGGCGCGCACCTGCGTGGCCTTGGCCTCCGTGACAGCGGCCCGTTGGCCGTCACGGCAGCCCTCGGTTGGCCCTTTCCTGCTTTATAGCGTGCAAACCTCGCCGCGCCAGGGCCAAGGGACAAGTTGGAGCTGTTGATCTGTTGCGCAATTGTTATTTTCCCCAGAGCAGCTTTGTCTTTGGATTTAGCATTTCAGAATTGCAATTCCAAAATGTGTAAGACAGGATATTCTCTTCTGTGCTGTCAAGGGTAAGAGTTGCCAGTGTAGATTAGAATTTTTATTGCTTTTAATCTGTTACTAAGTTTTTTGCTTTCAGCTATTATTTTCCCCCTGAGTGCTTTATATATTTTTCCTTTTCAGTTGAGAATTTGCTTCAATTTCTTAACATGTTCCCCCTTTTCTGCAGGGGCAGAGAGTGGAACACTTGCGTTTCATAATACTTGCTAGTTTCTGTAAATTGTTATAAAAGTGAAAAAAAGTTTCAACTCATTCTTTGAAGAAACTTTAAAAGTAGATATTTATATTTCTGATTTCCTTTGTAAATAAATTATAGGAATGAAAAACATTGGAATTCAAGGAAATGTGTACTTGATGTACAGTAAATACGTTTATGATGTTAAATGTAAAGTTTTAGGCTAATTCCAAAGATCTGTAAAGTATTAAGTTATTGACAATGTATTAATTGTGCTTTTTTTTCCTTTAAAGTTGTTTGTCTTGAACTTTTCCCCAGTCTTGATTGGAATTGTATTCTGGTTCCAACTAGTGAAGAAGTGAATTGTACTTTCGGATTTATTTAATAGCTGCTGTTCAAGAGTTATCTATAGGAATGCTTGTTTGACTGAAGGATATATGATGAAAGTGAACTTTGGTTTTTCTAATTTCTGGAATTGTACTCTAAAGCCCTCTATTATTTTTAAATTTTTCTTTCTTTGCTGTGTAATATAACGCTCCATATACGAAAATGCGTAAAACACATGTACTGCTTTAAGTGTGTAATTTTCAATTGTGTTTGATAAAAATAACTGCTTTCCTACCTTTGTAATCAGACATTAACTTGCATGTCTTAAAACTGAGAAGAACAAGAAAATTTAGAATTGATTTTGTTTATGATTCATATTAGGTCATTGTTATCCACTAAGATTTGAACAGAGTCAAACATTTTCTTGACCTTTTGTCAAAGAAATTCTCCAGGTGTGAAGTGGTAGTAGGATATAGTTTTTCACCTTCTGTGCAGAGGATGTGTTGATAATCAGGCCAGTAAGTAGAACCCTAGATTCAGTATCTCCATTAGGTGAAAGGAATCATCCATTACTCTTTGCAAGGGTGTCTTGGAGAAATAAAGCACTTTCCTAGATGAGGGATGAAATTGATATTGAACTAGACTGATAAGATTATTTTTAAGTCAAACAAGAGAAATAGGACAACCTCTCATCTCCTGAATGAATGTTAAACAAAGAACAGCTTGACTTTTTAGATAAGTGAAAAATCTCTAGAGAGATTGTGGAAGCAGCATGTAGAAGGATAAATGCATAACTCCTATCAGGCTTTTCTGCATTAAAAATAACTTGGGCCATTTTGAAATCTTTCTTTTTTGCCCTGGATCCTTAAAAGCAATGCGGAGGGGAAAACTGACTCTGTCTTTAGGATTACCAGAAAAAGTTGAAAGTGAAATATATCATTTTTCTTAATATTTCTTTTTATTGAGGGTAAATCATGTTTAACAAAGTGCATGAAAAAAAGGAACCCAACAAGTATATTTTTTCTTCTGGGAGTTTCCTCTGTCCTGACTGAAGACATTTAAAGGGGGTTTTGCGTCAATATTTCCTCCTTAACTGTTCCTTGAACCTGGGTTAACTTTGCAGTATGCAGGAAGAATTTGGCACTAAGTTAGTAACAATAAGTACTGGGCACTTCCCTGGGTGCCAGACATAATTGCTTCACATGCATAATTTTACAGTAACCTCATGGGAAATACTATTATCCCTGGTTTCCAGGTTGGGAAAACCAGGGAGAATAGTTAGATCAGGCATTAGGTTAGGAAAGAGGCATAGAGAAAGGCCAAGACCTGCTAGGGTGACCAGACTATTGAGTGGTCAAGGTAGCATTCAAACAGGTTTGACTCCTGGGAGCTCCAAATGACCACTTCCAGACTGTACCAAAACTCCTTAAACTTTAGGAAGAAAAGCTCACACTTTCAAAAGTGGGTAAGTTGAGATTTGCCTATTCTGGGGGAAGGAGAGGCTGGAATGTAAAAGATGAATATCTGTAGCTTTTCCATTGAGCAAGACAGTCACTGTATGTGGAGGTAGGAGGTGGACCTTGTTAAATATAGGGAGAGTTAATACAACCCATCAACGGAATTACCCTCTGTGGTCCTTTTTAGGAAGACACAGAGGCCTTGGTGGGTTCAATTTAGAGGGGCAGGACTGTTTCTGTCTTTTTTTCTTTTTGACACGGAGCCTTGCTCTGTTGCCCAGATTGGAGTGCCGTGGCCTGATCTTGGCTCACTGCAACCTCCACTTCTCGGGTTCAAGTGATTCTCCTGCCTCAGCCCCCCAAGTAGCTGGGATTATAGGCACCCACCACAACGCCTGGCTAATTTTTGTTTTAGTAGAGATGGGGTTTCACCATGTTGGCCACGCTAGGCTGACCTTGAACCCTTGACCTGAGGTGATCCACCGGGCTCAGCCTCCCAAAGTACTGGGACTACAGGCGAGAGCCACCACACCCAGCCTGTTTCTTAGTAATAGTTTTTTAAATAATTACTTTGGCAATGTCCAGGATTCTCTCTCACATTTTTCAGGAATCGTTTCCCTTTTTTCTTAATTAAATCTCTTAGCTACTGAAATCTTTGGCTTTGTTTGCCTTGCTAGTTGCTACATTTCTTCTGTTCCATTGGCTCTTTTTGTTTTGAAGTAGTGCTCAAAGATAAGCTTGGTAGTAAGAATATGGTGAAGAGTGTGACAGGTTTAAACCAGGTTGAAGGAGAGAGAGCAGAATGCGGAGAATTTGTATTGAAAACAGCTAGCAGAAACCTGTTGGTGCAAATTCAACCCTAATCTCATGTTTCTGCACTTCTGTACTGTAGCAAGCATAAGGGCCCAAGTCTTAATCTAGTCGAAGTTCACTTGAGTCTTTGAGAATAGTACCTCTCAAAATTAAACGCTTTCCAATGTCTCCAGTGAGGCTGCAGGGAAGTTCAGAACAACAGCCCTGCAGCAAGCTTAGAAAGCACATTGTCCAGATTGGAGCAGAAGAGCAGAGAACACCAGGGGCCATGACTCTGGGGGGAAAAGGGGAGCTGTCCTGAGGCTTTACAGTGCTGGAGGATAGTTTGGGAATGAGTTTGTGATTGTCACAGATAAGAAAACCAACAAACAAAAATCAATTATAAACTAAAGAGAACACAATAATTAGATGAGCAATAAAACGTAATTACAGCATTCTGCATGATTAGCAGTGATGCAATCTTAATGCAATAAACACATTACTGATTTAATAAAAAAAAAAATTAAACGCTTTCTTAGTCTTTATTGTTAAACAAGTTGGTTTTGGAATTATTGTCTTATTTGTCAGAATTAAGTGTGCTGTAGGACTTAAAAGATCTGATGGATGATTTGCCAGAAAGTTGGTCCAGGGTAGCCTCAGGGTATTTAAGTGCCTGGTCCAGCCACTTTCTGAAAATTGACTGAAATCTGTTGCACACCAGGGTAGAGGAGAGCAAGTTTACTAGATGTAATTTTTAGCCTGCTTGCCTTCATCTCTGACTGTAGAAATGTATATTCATTAGAAGTTTACCATAAATAGAGAATAGAGTTTATTTATTTATTTTTAGAGATGGAGTCTGGCTCCATTGCCAGGCTGGAGTGCAGTGGCATGATCTTGGCTCACTGCAGCCTCCACCTCTGGGGTTCAAGCCATTCTCCTGCCTCCGCCTCCTGAGTAGCTGGAACTATAGGCACGTGCCACCAGGCCAGCTAATTTTTGTTTCTTTAGTAGAGACGGGGTTTCACCATGTTGGCCTGGATGGTCTTGATCTCTTGACCTCATGATCCGCCCACCTCAGCCTTCCAAAGTGCTGGCATTACAGGTGTGAGCCACCGCGCCTGGCCAAGAGTTTATTTTTTTTGATATTCTGATTTCTAGGAGCTATTGAAATGTCACTGCTACCTGCTTTTAAATAAGCACCAACAAACATTTATTAAGAGGGCTTTATGGTATAGGCCAAGATTTATTCAATTGGCAATGTTTTCTGAAATGATAGCAAAAATATGTTCAAGTGTGTAATATTAAATACTAACATTCAGAAACAGTGTTGGAGAAATACGGATGATTTTCTTATTCCAAACTCTACCTCAGATCTCAAAACAAGACTGTTAAGCAAAATCTTGTGCTACCTAGTTTGATCCTTCTATGTGTCAGCCCCTGCCATAATAAATACCTTTTAACTGTTACTATGAAGCATATTAACAACTTTGAGTAGGGGAGGCATTTTTAATCATTTGTTTTTATGGCATGGTTACTCTAATACCAGTGTGTTGCAAATCCTGGTGTTTAAAAGATTTTGTGTATGTGAGCTTGTTCATTTGGTCCAAACTGTTGGTACTAGTAAAGACAAGTCCAGTGTATAAGTAGGACTTAACAGCACCTAGTTCATCTTTTTCTTTTTTTTTTTTGAGATGGAGTCTCGCTTTGTCCCCGAGGCTGGAATACATTGATTGGTACAATCTGGGCTCACTGCAACCTCTGCCTC